ACATTGACTGAAGCCTACCTTTTCACATTTTTCCTACTTTTTTGAGTTCCCCTCTTTACCTAATCTTTGCCCAAACATTCTTTATCTTTTGCTCTTTAGATAGAGATGTCTTTAAGATTTTTTTGTTGTAGACTTTATTAATACATTTTAGGATTTTGTTTTGTTTTGAAGCATTGTTCTGTTTACCCAAGAATTCTGTCATACTAGAAACAGGAAGAAAATTTTAAAAGTCATATTTTTTTAGTAAACTCAGGACATTTAAAAAATGCCTTAAAAATGCCTATAAAGAATAATTATCATACTTCTTGAATGGAACTGAGAGCACACAAGAATGTTGTATTTTATTACTTAGTTTTCTTATGGCTATGACAAAATACCTGAGCAAAGTAACTTAAAGTAAAAAGGGTTTTTGTTTCCTCTCACAAGTTTGAGGATAGAGTCTACCGTGAAGGGGAAGGCTTTCCTAGTTTGCTTTCTATTGCTGTGATAAAACACTATCCAGAGCAAACTTACAGGAAGAAAGGGTTTATTTGGCTTAAATGTCCCAGTCACAGTCCAGCAGTAAGGAAAATGAGGGTAGGAATTTAAGACAGGAATGTAGCAGCAGAAATTGTAGTAAAGTCAAAGGTGTGAAGGAGTGCTGTTCACTGGCTTGTTCCCTGTGGATATTTCAAAATGCTTTTTATACAGCCCAGGACTGCCTACTCATTGTGTCACCTCCCCATTGGGCTGGACCTTCCACATCAGTCATTATTCACGAAAATGTCTCCACACATCATCTGATGGAGGCATTTTCACAGTTGAAGTTTCCTCTTCCTGGATGACTCTAGTTTATGTCAAGTTGATCAAAAACGAACAACAACAAAAACAAATTTATCTAGCAGAGAAATCTTGCCCTGGAAACATAAGTCATCTGATCACAGTTTAACTGCAGCCGGGGGGAGGTGGAGAGGGGGGGCGTGGTGGTAGAGTGAGAGAGAGGGAGGAGAGAGGGAAAGAAAACTACTTGCACTTTCCTTTTCTTTCACTTGGGACCCAGCCCGTGAACTGTTGCTACCCACACTTAGTGTGGATCTTCCAACCTCAAATTAACCTCTCCTTATTTGCTTTCTGTTGCTCTGTTTAAACACCATTGACCAAAGTCAGATTGAAGACAGCAGGCTTTATCTTACAGTTTAAAGTCCATCATTGGAGAACTCAGGGTAAGAAACTCAAGCAGGGCAGGAACTTGAAAGCAGAAACTTTGGAAGAATGCTGTTAGTGGCCTGCCCCCTAGCTTCTGCTCAGCTAGCTTTACACAGCACAGGACCCTCTGTTTAGGTATTGTATTTGCCCACAGTGGGCTGGATCCTCTGAGTTCAGTTAGGCCAGTCTGATTGGTCAGTACCCCAGTTGAAACTCCCCCAAATAATTCAGGGCTGTGTCCACTTGAAAGCTGAAGCTAACTAGGTGATAACCCAATCTGGCAAGCTTGCCAGGTGGCTTATTTTTTTAGGTCATTCTATATCATGTTCAGTTGATAATCATCAGCATTCAGCATCACAAATATCAAATAACATAATTCTAACTAAATAAATCTTTCAGATTGGTTTTTCAGTTATCCAATATTCACAGATATGCTGTAGAGCAGTGAGCTAGTTGATATAAACATGTCTGGAGTGACAGTTGAGAGATGGTAAGTTAGCTAAATTGCTATTTCTTTTAAAATAAAGTCAGTTTAAAATTATAAATAATACTACTTTGAATAAAGAAAATAAACTTGGGGCTGGAGAGCTGGCTCAGAGGTTAAGAGCACTGGCTGTTCTTCCAAAGTTTCTGAGTTCCATTCCCAGCAACCACATGGTGGCTCCTAACCAGCTATAATGAGATCTGGTGCCCTCTTCTGGCTTGCCGACACACATGCAGGCAGAACACTGTATAAATAATAAATAAATAAATCTTAAAACAAAAAAGAAAGAAAATAAACTTAATGAAATATACATGGTTTAAATTTAGAATTAAATACTTCAGTCAATTAAATACTTGTTCCCTAGAAACAAATTTAAAGCTTGGCAGATGAGATCAAAGAGTTCTCATATTTAAATGTCTGATGTACTGTCTCTCTAGATGTGCCATATAATTAAACTACTTAGGCAAAGAGAGGCATATAAAGGAAACACTATTTGTTTACTTGGTTAAGACTTTGGTATAATGTAAAGGATTGACTTTTGCCTTATTTTCCTTGAGAAAATTATCTCCCACCTAGCCATTGCTATCATTAACTGGTACTTCTAAGGCATGAGGGCAATTTAATAGATGATAGGTTGATAAGTAGTAATTTAGAGTAAACTAATAGTACTGTAATATGTAGCACTTTGGTCATAGTGTTTGTGTAATTGGGTAGAATGTTAGATCAATGTACTTTATTGATCTAATGGAAACTTAATGTGTCATGACTTAATATTGGTGCAGCAGTTGGAATATACCCTAAAATTTATGGTTTCTTTGAGTTGTCAAGGCTTGGTAGAAACTCTGATTCAACTTATATTTTTCATTAAACATTTTTAATAAGAGATTATGTCCTATATGACCATGGCAAACCAGTGTATGTTGATGGAAATACAAAGTGATTATTGAGAGAAAAGTGATAGGAGTTGACTAATAATTGAAGGTTCACAAGATAACTAATAGATTAACAGTTTTTTAATGAACATGCTCTAGGATAAATTAAAATTAATTTACATTTGACTGTAAATTTTAGGCCAGTGTTATATGTACAGAAATACACTAAGTTCCACTTTATGAGAGGAATGATTGCAAATTTATATTGTAATTATTTGATGGCTCTATAGAGATGGTTAGCTGGTACCTAAGAGAACCTGTACTGTAGGTGAAGCTCTGCTGCTTTTTGTTCTTGATACATATGAAAATATTTCTATCTCAACATCAAACATTATAGTGAGTTAGGAGAAGTAGCCAATTCCAGTAGAGGGATAGTGGATTTGAAATTATATGCAGCATTATTAAAGTGTTGTTTTAATTGGCAATTGTTACTTTTCTTTAGTGGTATGATAGAGTGTGTCTTCTTGACTTTAGTGCCCGTTAGGTTTGATGACCTTCAGTTGATGAACAGGTGACATATTCATCGTTCCAGTAAACTTTAGAAGCGGTCTTAAAGTGTATTGTTATATTATCAACTGAATCAAAGGCTGAAAGTATTTTGAAATAGAGTGATTTTGTACTGTTAACAGAGAAGAACACTCCTGTTAAATTTTTAATTTTTAAAATTTTTTTTAACTTTTATTAGTTACACTTTATTCACTTTGTATCCCCCGTAAACCCCTCCCTTCTCCCTTCCTAATCCCAACTTCCCTTCCCTTCATGCAAATTTTTAAATTTTAATTAAAATGTTAAAAATTTAGTTATTTTTGAAACTCTGAATTATATGAGTTGCTCTGAACTCAAACTGAAGCAACCAGTGTTTTTATAACATTTCAGAATTCAAAAAGAGTAATGCAGTATTTAAAAATTTGAACATTTTTAACTTCAGATAGGTATAAGCTGAGGCAAAGAAAAGCAGTTTAGTCTTGCTGGAAAGAACTCTGTTTTGTGTATCTGAAATATGAAGTCAAGATAATATGTTGCACTTGTACATACAGATTTATTAGAGGGAGTTTGTTGTTTCTTTTAATTTAGAATTGTTTCCAACAGTATATAAATAGAGCAATTTTAAATAACATTTTTTTCCAAGGAGCAAGTGATTAGTGACTGTGAAGTAACTGTCAGCTCAGACAGTTCTGTACTGCTGCTGTTGTCAAGTCCAGAACCTTTCATGACCACACAATTAAATTAATTTCTTTATGAAAAAGCGCAAGGAACCCCACCAAGTATAGACTTCTGCATTCTTTTTTAGCCTTTACCCTTTCATCTTTTCTACACTTTAGAAGCACATACTCTCAGTGCAGTGATAATCTAATTGGAGGGGCTAAGCCAGGACCAATCCTGTGTATCCGAGTGTTTTTTGATGCTTCCATATTAGGATTTGCAGTCTCTGACAGAACACTCCACAAAATAAGCATCCTCGGTTCCTTTTGGCTCACAATCAGGGGTATAGTCTGCCATGGTAGAAAGCCATGGCAGCAGGAGCATGACAGTTGCATCTGAAGTCAGGAAGCAGAAATAAATGCTGCTGCTCTTCTTACTCTTTTTCTTTTATTCAGTCCTATGCCCCAACGTTTGGGATCATGGTGTCCACATTCCAGGTTGATCTTCCTCCAGTTAAACCTTTCTAAATTCACCTCATAGACACATCCACAAAAGTGTTTTCATACAGTTCTAAATTTAGTTGACAGTTAATATGCTAACCATTATAGCTAATAAATCACTGTCAGGTTCTAGAATGGTAGTATCTTTTCAGAATGTTATTTTATAGTATATATTTTGAAGGGAGGATATAGTAGAAAATTGAACCACACAGAGTTGATAAATACTATATGATTATATATGTGTATATACATAGATGTGTGTATATAGTACTATTATTAGAACAGATAGGATATATGCTGATTTTTCTACTTTAAAATCTTAAAAGTAGCACAGAAGTTAGATGTTGTTTTCTAATTTTTCTGAAACATAAAAGTGTAGTAGTATTTTTTAAAAAGTGCCTCATGAAATTTCAGGATAAATTGAATCACCCAGTGAAAATCCTATCTAACCACACAAGCATCTTCCTTTTAAATGACCTTTGGATTTATCATCATGTTTTCCTCTAATTAATAGCATTTGAGAAATCAAATTATTGTTAAAACTACTAAGTGTTCACCGTGAATGCAAATTGTGTATATATATATATATGTAGGACACATATGAAATACTGGATATTTTGGTATAAAAGTAAATAACCATGCTTGCCAATATTAAGAGCTACACATAAAGACAGACATTTAAGCATTTCAAAATTATTTGAAAATGTATTTGTCTAGTTCATCATATTGTGTACTTTTTTCTCTACTTTTCTGAAGATTTGTCCCATCAGATGAAAAGAAGAAGCAGGGTTGTCAACGGGAAAATGAAACACTAATACAGAGAAGAAAGGACCAGATGCAGCCAGGGGGCACAGCAGTTAGTGTCACAGTACCTTACAGAGTAGTAGACCAGCCCCTGAAACTTATGCCTCAAGACTGGTGAGACCCTCCCTCCCTTCTTTTTCTTCTCGTTCTTCCCCCATTCTCTCTATATTAATGTTTTATTTCTAAAAGGTTTTTGAATATTTATTTTGTATGTATGAGTACGCTATTGTGTGATTGCGGAGTCAGAACAACTTGCAGAAGTTGTTTTTCTCTCTACCATATAGGAACTGGATCAAACTCAGGTTGCCAGGTTTGGTAGCAAGCACCTTTAAGTGCTGAGACATCTTGTCACCTACACCCCTCTTGATTTTTCAAGACCAGATTTCTCTGTGTAGTCCTGGCTATCCTAGAACTTGCTCTGTAGGCAAGGTTGACCTGGATCTCAGAGATCCACCTGCTTCTTCCTCCTGAGTGCTGGCATTAAAGGTATGTGCCACTATGTCTGGCCATTTTTTTTAAATGACATAATTAACTATCAGTTTATAATGGGTTTTAAATAGAGATTATCTTTGATAATGTGTTAATCCATATTATCTAATTTGGACATAGTAATGCTGACATTCTAATAATATCTTACTCTTACAACTGTTACATTTAATTTATTTATTAGTGTGTTGTGCTATTGAAGAATTTTTTTTTGAAAGTTTGGAGTAGATAGTCCACAGAAGGAAATATTTTTATTTATAATTTAATTTTAGCTGTAGAAGCGTGGAGAAGACTAAGAATTTTAAGTTTGCTGTTTTTCTCAGTGACTTTGCTAGGTCTCTCTCTCTCTCTCTCTCTCTCTCTCTCTCTGTGTGTGTGTGTGTGTGTGTGTGTGTGTGTGTTACTCTCAGTAGTCCCTTTGCTTCAGCCTTCTGAAAACCGTGAGTATTGGCACTAATTCTATAACTGGCTTACAACAGGTCTTTCTCTTGATCAAAGTAATTGGTTAATTGTTTTGTTAGATGTATAGAGTTGTCATCTAAGAAAATGACTATTAATGTATAGTATGAATACCTTTGGGCATTCTGAAGACCTTTTAAAAGGGCAGCCCATTTGCAATATAATACTAAGGTGATTATTATCTTTATGTATCAGGTTTTTTTAAAGATTTTATTTATTATTTATACAACATTCTACCTGCACACCAGATCTTACTATAGATGGTTATGAGCCCCCATGTGGTTGCTGGGAAGCGAACTCAGGACCTTCAGAAGAACAGCAAGTGTTCTTAACCTCGAGCCATCTCTCCAGCTCTGTGTATCAGTTTTTAAATGAAACTTTGTATCCAGTGCCCAACCTTACCCTCTATTTCCTCCATCTCTTCCTTTGCCTTCTATTTAGTAGTTCTCTAACACACCCATGTATTTGTCTCCTCATCTGAAAGTGGGATGTGTTTAGAAGAAGAAATATATTAATATGATTAATTTGTAATATATTTAAAACAGCCCTCTCATATAGTAAATACTTTAGCAAATATTAGTAATGGTTACTAACCATCATTGTTTTGTTGCATACTCTTGTGTGCTAAAATTTTTTATGGCAGTACTTAACATAATTTTTAATTATATATTGTGTAAAAAATGAAATATGAGGACCTAAAAAGAGATTTGTTCTTTCTTCGAAAACTAGTTTGTATAGCTGAGAAAACGAGTTCCTTTAAAAATGAAACTAACATTTAGGGTAAATAAAATAGTTGTCTAAAGCTTGGAAATATTAGAACAGTTGAGATTTTTTTTATACTTAGATTTCTTCCTGAGGACCAGAAGAAAATAAGTCTTGGATTTTCATAAAATGGCTGGAAAGAGTTCCTATAATTTAATGTTTTGATTAAATTTAAATACTTAATATGCATTTAAATTTTGAATAACTTCCATTTAAAACTATTTTGTTCAGTTAATCAGCTGCTGATCCCTATTTCAATCTGTAAGTATACTCTTTACTTGAGGGAAGAAAAAAAGATTACAAAGATGATCAGAAACTATTATTATGTTTGCAACTATTTCCAGAAGACTTAGGTAAGGGGATTGGGGTGGATAAGTGTGTGTGTGCAGTATAGGACTCAGAGATTTATATCCTAACAACATACTAAAAATTCAAGTTGATTATGTTTGTTTCACTGAGAGGACTGCTGGGAAGACTGTCATATGAATAATTACCCGTTTTTTAAGGATTTGCAGCAGTACAAACTGGAGTTTGAAATATTTTTCTTTTCTCTCCCACTTCCTCCTTTCTGTTTATAGGGATCGGGTTGTAGCTGTTTTTGTGCAAGGTCCTGCTTGGCAGTTCAAAGGTTGGCCATGGCTTCTACCTGATGGATCACCAGTTGACATATTTGCTAAAAGTAAGATTCTCATATATTCACTGCTTATTCAGCATAGGGTTTTTAAGAGAAAGAACCATATTTAGTCACCCTGCATATAAATGTATTAAAGGATTGCCATTCAGTAACAATAATAACCTTTAGCCACCTGTATTTTTAAAGCCAAAAATCCATTAACATTTTCTATGTGGTTTATAAAAAATGAGTGTTACCTATATGATACATTGCTAAGTATTTTAGGTTATTTACATCATTAATAGTTCAGTATTCCTGTACATTTTTATTAAGATTGATAATTAGCTTTATGTAATGTACATTGTATGAATTCATGATTTTACTGTGATATTTCTGTAACTGCATATATCAAGTAACAATTAAGTTTTTTATAGGTTGACCTCTATATATGTATAGCACTAATTAAAATGTCTAGTACATTTATCAGCTACCCCATCTGGGATGGTTACCCAGAGTGGTCTTTCTCTTCCTTCAGCTCTCTCAGCTCAAATGTTCTGTCTTTGGAGAATCCTTAATAGAGCTTGTTTCTTGGCAGCTTCTAATTTTTGTTATTTTACTGGAAGTCTTGCCTGGCAGGAATGCAACTACCACAGTAGGAGCAGCCCTTTATTCATTTATTCAGCTTTGTGTTCTCAGCATAAGAGAATGCTAGACACATGGAGACTTTCAGTAAATAGTCTATGAATGAATTATATAGATTAAAACTCCTGTTGAACATACATTTAGATAAATTGATACAGTAGATTATGTAGTCTACTTGGTAGAAGGGATAGTCCAACTGCTATTTAGATGGGGTCCAAATAAAGTACTAATGTTAGTAAAGTTAATAAAAATCATTCTCATAAAACAGGCACTTAATCAATGGCAAGTTACTGTGAATATAAATTATACTATTATGCAATCCAGACATGTTAGCAACCCATTTTTGTTGGTAATCTCATTCTCTCCTAAAATTAAAGTTTTAATAATTTGTTTTTAATCTCAGTTTATTTTCAAAGATAAATTATATTACTGTTCTTATGATAGTTCTTTATGTCATTTCTAAGTAATACATGGGTTAGGCAAAAAAGAAATACATAGAGAATTGAAATTTAATGAAAGTGTCAGTGATTGCAAGTACCTGTTTTTTTTTTTTTCTCTTGTTGACTGTTTGTAAAGACTTAATTTTATTAGAAATATAATGTGCTTTTTTCTATTGTTGAGATTATTATTCTTCCAAGGAAGATAAAGATATAGTCAGTGATTTTCTTCTACATATTCTTTCTCTTCATTGTTGTTTTGTACTGCCTCTTTTCTGGGAGTGATTAGAAGTGTTCTCCTTCCATATTTAAAGAAATCACAAACCAGACCATTGACTTGATCTCACAACTTCTTTTTTGAAATTACTCTTTGAAAAAAAATTATCTCCAATAACTTTGAATTTAGGTCTCAATCCGCTACAGTGTGGCTGCTTCATTAAAGTTGTTTTCCCACCTCCCAGTATTGGATAGTCTTGACCTCCATTTCTTGCCTTTCAAAGTGCTTGTTTTCAAATACTTTTCAAAGTGCTTGTTTTCATTTGATCTCAAGGGTTTTCTGTTTTGTTTTGTTTTGTAGTTTTTTGTTGTTTTTTTTTTTTTCTTTCTGGCTTTCAGCCATACATTTTAAGTTTTCATTTCTCTTTAAATTCTGAATACCCTCTTAAGAAAATCTTACACTTTTAGGTTTTTGTTTGTTTGTATTTTACACTTTTAGGTTTTTGTTTGTTTGTTTTATTTTGTTTACTTATATCTATTTATTTTTGGTTTTTCAGGATAAGATTTCTCTGAGTTGCTTTGGCTGTCCTAGAACTCACTCTAGACTCACCTTTTCAGTTTTTATCTCTTACCCACTTTATAAAAGTTATATCTCTTAATTCAGAATTGTGGGACTGTCTGTCTTACTACCTGATAAATATTTGGTAATGTTCAATTGAAATATTAGTCTGTTTCAAGTGATTTCAGTTAATTGTCTTACCCTCTTCACCTAAACTTTTATTCCTACCTCAACTTAGTTCTTAGTGCGTGTCCTAGTTTCATTTATGTTGTTGTAATAAAATACCTTTTAAAAAAAGGCAGCTTAGGGGAAAATATGTTTATTTCAGCTTATAATTTCAGGTAACAGTTCTTCATTGTGGGGAGGTCAAGACCGAACCTTCGTTTAACTAGCCAAATAAGAGCAGAGAAAAATTAATGCATTCACGTTCACTTGCTTGCTTGCTTTTGCTCATCATAGATGTTCTACTCTATGAGTTTAGGACCTGTTGTCAGGGAATAGTGTTGCTCATAGTGGGCTGGCTCCTTCCAGGTAATTTAGTAATGAACTCTGCCGTAGACATGCTTACAGGCTACCCCAGTGTAAAAAATGCCTTAGTACAACTCTCTTCTCAGGTGATTCTAGGGTGTTTCAAGTTGATAAATTAACAACCACAGTGCTTTTCTCAGGTTTTACTAGTCCCACTCTTTTCTGTATCATAATGCACATAGTAGAGAATGTAATTACTTGTATAGCACAAGAGAAACCTCAGAGTCTGGGGGTATTTTCATGGGCTATAGGAAAAACTGACTTAGTGCTACATAATTATGATACACTCAAAATGTATTAAACATACTATATTTTTAATATAAACTGAAAACCTTTCAAAAGTATAGTAAATTTTAATTTGTAGCATAAAATATTTTGTTTTAAGTAGCTGAGCAGGTATACACATTTATTGTTTAAAATTCCCCTTTTCCCCTCCATTTTTGAAATGGTGGAATTGAATCCTAGACTTTTTGCATGATCTCAAGGCCTATTTATTTATTTACTTATTTGTTTGTTTATTTATTTATTTATTTTTAATGTGTATTGGCACACATACCACGTGTGCCTTATACCATGGAGGCCAGAAGAGGGCATTGGATTCCACGGAGCTGAAATTTACAGGTGTTCATGAGTTACCATGTGGGTACTGGGAATAGAATCCAGGTCCTCTGAAAGAGCTGTTAGTGCTCTTGATGACCATGCCATCTGTACAGCCCCATTCCTCAGGTTTTTTTTTTTTTTTTTTCATGATAGTCTTAAGTAAAAAAAAAAAAAAATTAATTATTAAAGAGATATAGGATTTAAGGGTTCAGATTATTTTATTTAAATGTAACTCTTAATATGTATTTAGTATGTAATATGTATGTGTACGCTTAGGTGGGCATACACATGTACTTGTGAGGGTATTTGTAGGTAGAGGACAGATATTTGGCATCAGTCAGTTTATTTATTACTCTTGCTTTTTTGTTTTGTTTTAATTAGTGTGTGTGTGTGAGACAGACAGGGAGAAACACAGAGAGAGAGAGAGAATGAATGTACTTTGTATGTGAGTGGTAGAGACAGAGAATGGGTATGTATATCTATGTTTTCACAAAGTCTATGACTCATGAAGTTGGGAGCTTCTCTTAGAGAGTAGAGAGTATGTTCTCTCTGTCCACTGAGGGTTCCAGGGATCAAACTCAGTTGTCAGGCCTGTGCAGTAAGTGCCTCAAACTATTGAGCCATCTTTATTTTCTGAGACAAGGGTTCTTGTTGAACCGACCATCGTTGTTGTTAGAATGGCTCATCAGTGAGCTTCAAGGAACTGCCTTTCTCTGTCCCCCAGCTTTGGGACTATAGACCCAAGGTACTAGGGCCGAATTTTTATGTGAGTGTACCCAGGCTCCTGTGGCAGACACTTTATTGACTGAGCCTTCTACACAGCCCCTTCATATGTAGTTTAAGCATCAATTTAAAGTAAAAACAGTTAATGGAATAGAAAACTAAGGATGGAATAAGCAGATTGAAAAGTATTTAGAAATTTTAATTTATATTTAATTCCCTAATTCATAATTTTAAAAAAGGTCAAAAAGTGTTTACTTATATAACACATATTTTGAAAGTGGGGTTTTCAATTCTATAACAGAATCCCTGAATGGGTTGTTTTAATTAAATATTATATGGTAAATTTTATTTTTTAAAGGAAATGGCTTTTAAATAATATTTATTGTTCCTTCCATCTATTCATTTAAACTCTTTGAGGAATTGAACCTTGATTAGTTATTAATGTCACAAGCTAGTGTGTGAGCTAGACATGGTGTCTCATGTCTATAATCCTGGTATTTGAGAAGCTGAGCTAGGAAGATTGCTGTGAATTTGGGTCAGACTGGGCTACATAAATGAGATCTTAGCTCAAGAAAAACAAAAACACCAATATGCAATGAAACAAGCAGTTACAAGGTTACAATCATAATTTTTTTTTTAAAGTCACTTGTTTTCTCTGTAGGAAACCCTGACAACAGGTAATGATGATAATAGTAACAGTTATGGGGTTATAAAAAGAAAAAGTTGAAGGAAAACAGCATTTTACATATGAGTTTACAAAACAAACCTCCGTTCATCAAACACTGGCTATAAATATAATAATTAACCAGCTATGATGACCCAGTTTTATCAGGGTATGAAAAAGGAAGATATATTTTTTTCATTTGCTTTAGCTCTTGAATTATCTTTTAGTGTTGAAAATCATGCATTTCACTTTCTTGATCTTTTATAGTATCTATCACTTTTGGAATAAAATTCATATATGTTTTATCTAGACCATCATCTACCCAAAGATTATTTATTTATAAGGCATTGCAAGGGTGCTTCCATGTGAGGACTCTAGAAACAATTTTGTTTTTTCAGTCTGAACATTTATATTGTTTCTTTGCAGCACATAGTTTTCAGCTTCCTACTTGTAGATCCTTCCTCCAGAAGCCTTCCCTGTGTGCCTTGTCCACAGTAACTCCTTACATATTGTTGGTGTCTCTGTGTAGTGCTTCATTTTCCTCACTTCCATTCTTTGCACATTGCATACTTATCTGCTTACTGGCTACTAGATTGTATATTCTGTGAGGATGGAGAGTTTATTTTCACCATTGTACTCTTACTGTATAGAATAGTTCACTTTATATAAATACTGTATTTAACTAAATGCTAGCTATCTTCTTTTCGTGATTGTTTTTTTCTTGCCTATCATTTTTTTTTTAAACTGAATGGTAATATTTTGCTTTTTATTGTTGTGATAAATACTATGACCAAAATGTCCGTGGGGGAGGAAGGGGTTTATTTGACTTCTGTGTCCTGATTGCAGTTCACTATTGAGGGAAATCGGGACAGAAACCAAGCTGGAGCAGAGGTAGGAACTGTGGAGGAAAGCTTCTTCCTGGCTTGCTTTTCGTGGCTTGCTCAGCCTAACCAGGGATGGCACTGCCCGCACTGGACTGGGTCCTCCCACATCAGTCATTAATCAAGAAAATGCTCCCACACACTTGTGTCCAAGCTAATCTGATGGATTTTCCTCAGTAAAGGTTCCCCTTTCTGGATTACCCGAACTTGTGTCATGCTGACAAAAATCTGCCAGCATTTGAGTCATGTTAGTTTTTACTCCCCTAGTAATTTCACAAGTATTTGTCATTCTGGCTGTGTTTCTTCTACCCAATTAAAAAACCACCTTCCCCCGTTTTTTAATCTGCAAATATTTTATAATGATTCTCCGTATCACTGGAATTTTAGACTGTTTTGGGCTTCTAAGGCCAATAGTACTCTGAATGCTTATGATCTTAATCTTTTTCTTCCTTATCTTTGCTACTTTACATATTTAAGTTCTTTTACATTTCATTTCTAAGACCAAACTATTTTCTCTTTGAGCATTCTCTTGATGATCATGTCACTTTGTTCATTGCTTGCTTGTTTTTTTCTTTAAGTCTTAAGTTAAACATTGTTGCCTAAGCAATCCTTTTTTTAATTCATGGCTTGTGAAAAGATTTCTTTTGTGTCTCTATGATACTGTACTGCCCCTACCATACTGTATTTGAATTTGTTTTTAATCTTTCACTGAGTCATGAATTTTATCTTAGTTTATTTGGTATTTCACTCTCCAGTAGGTAACTTCTTTCAGCCCTCACTGTTTGTTGACTTTGAGTGTTTCAGATGGTATTATAGTACTACTGCACAGCTGTTTCAAAGATCACTGGTTATAATGTTAAGGTAGATTCAGTTGGTACTAGAAAGATTGGAATATTTGTTTTTTATTTGTGTTTATATATATTTTCGTTCAACAAAGTATTTCCATAATTTTGGGTATAATTTTAATAAGAGTTCTCCTTTTTTCCTCCTTGTTCTCCATATAGTTAAAGCCTTCCATCTCAAATATGATGAAGTTCGCCTAGATCCAAATGTGCAAAAATGGGATGTAACAGTATTAGAACTGAGCTATCATAAGCGTCATTTGGATAGACCAGTTTTCTTACGTTTTTGGGAAACATTGGATAGGTAATTATGTTTCTGAAAATATAGTCACATAAAGCTTTATTTTAGTGCTATTTTTTAAATCAGAATTTAAAACCTTTAAAGTGATGAGCTATGTCCTGTAATTCCTTGCTTTAAACACTGTCTGATTTGAAGCCAACATAATAATTGATAAAAACTTTGATTTATTGACTTTATATTTAAATGAAGAAAAAGTTTAGATCCTGTTAGAAGGCACACTAAACTCTGAGTGAGAAGATCTTGCTCTCATGAACTGTGAAACCTTCTGAACTTTATTTTCTGTCTGCTCAGAAGGCTTGCAGTTGGGTGATCGCTGAGCTCTGCAGACTGAAAGCTCCTGAAGGAAATTTAACTTTTATATTTATTTGAATTACTAGTATAGAGTTTATAAGTTCTTTATAACAACTGTTCTGTAATGTACAAATATGAGAATAGCAAATGATCATAATTAATACTATGAACTCAGTTATATTCCCTGATAGCTACAGCTAGTTTGATTATCTCTCACTGGATTGTGCCAGTTTTCTGAAAGTAACTTTATGGTTATAACTGATAGAATGTAAAGACAAATGCATTTTTAGTAAGCTCTTAGGTTATAGAATTTAATGCGAAATACTTCTTTTGCTTACTATTTTTCAGAAGTTAAAGACTTCTGAAACAACTTCCAGTTGTTTAGTAAAAACAGTATTTTGTCCCCTCTCGATTTTGTTATAAAAAATAAGTAACCTTTTTACATGTAGTATTCTTAAAATTTTTTAATTTGTTTTGTCATCATAACCAACTGTTGTATTTTTTCCCCTAGATACATGGTAAAGCATAAATCTCACTTGAGATTCTGAATCATTTGATTTCTCCTTTTCTGAAAACTTGGATTGAAAAGCATGGATATAGCTTGATCTACAGACTGAAACCCAAGCTTTATGAATTCATCAAGAACTTGCAAATGAAGAAGGCCACAGAACAGTCTTTTATAATAAGACCTTGTTTGATGCTGTGTGCTTCAAAGGGGCAATGCCTCCCATCCAACTTTTTTGGCTTACAACTATTTTTTTAATATTAGCCTTTTAGTCTGTAATGGAAATTGTATATTTTGATAGAAGTTTTTTCTCTATTGGTTAAATTAGCATTACTTAGAATTTGGTTCTTTAGAAATAAATACAGATTATAAATGTGTGTATATTTAGAAGTTATAAGGCTCTTTAAGCCATCTTGCTTCTGATTTTTCATTGCTCTATGATTCCTTTTACTGGAAAATACTGTCATGAATGGTATTAAATTTTAGACTTTAGAATTTCAAAACCCCATCAAAGGGAAGTAACTATTAAATCAGTTGAAAGACATCCTGTGTGTATACTATGTCTATACGAACTCATTTAAAAAGGAATAATGAAAAATCAAGAACAAGTCTTCAGTTTCAGTTGAACAGTTCGGCCTTTTCAAGATTTCTTTTGTAAATGAATACATTTAATGAATGTACATTCTCTTTGTTGACTTTGATGATTTTAAACTAAAGTGATATATTTCTATCTGGGATATGTTTCCACGTGAAAGAAATCTCAAACAAAAAAAAAAAACAGATTAAAGTGTAATAGGCTGTAGTGATTTTTACTTGGAAAGTTAAAGTATGGTTTGGGGGAATGAGTGTGTGTCAGCGTAGTTACAGTGTAACTTGAAACTCTTCTAAGTCTGACTTTGATTCTTATTTTATATGTGCGATAAGATTTTGAGTCTTCTATTTGTACACATGTCAACTTGGGACTTCTTAGCTTCCATTATCCCGAAATATTGATAAATTCCCAGGCACCAAAGAACACATTTGCTTACGTGTCTGAACAGAAACAAGATAAAAACACTGGTATTTTTATGTGTGTGTTCAATGTGGTATAAAATATAAAACCTATATTTTAACTTAGTAAAAATATTTTACTATTTCTCTACTTTACACAGAGTGTTGCATCCAAGCTGCAATGAATGACCATGATCCTTGAGTCCTGATTTTATCTTTTGCTACTTAAGAGGAATGTTTATTCCTTGAAACTTAGTTTGCCATTTGACCATCCCACCTTGTATGTTGTTTTCCTCAGTGGATATCTCGTAGGGTACCAAATTGGCGGGTGGGGCATTGAAACATTTAGGCTCTTTCTTTTATTCAGGTGAGGATACTTAGCCACTGTAGAATTTGATGCTATTATAAAGATGAGAAACAATTATTTATTTTATTAAGTTACCACAAAAGTCCATTACCAGTAAAATAGGAAAGATATTTATTCAGATGGAATTCAGGGGTCTCTCCAGAAGATGAGCAGCTCATGTTTTAACTGACTTCAGTACATTCGTAGTCTTAATGGCTTCTGCCCACAGTTTCCCTTTTTATATCGTCTTCATAGTAAAAGAAAACTCACTTTGTTCACAGAATTTCTCAGCATACAAATCTGTTCTTAAATTATGTATTGAATAAACTTTCTCCATAATGAAATAGTCAGGGACTCAAACCTGAAATACTTTAATGTAAGATTACTTGTTAGGACTACTGCAAAGGACATGAACTACTACCTTTCTTTGAGGATGGTTGCTATTTATTCTTAATATCTGAAGTTTACTTGATAACAGAGTATGGTTAAAATTAATATCTACTTTGAACAAGGTTTATTTTTCTATTTAAATTTGCTTTGTGTGTAGTCAGAAGCTCCTGGGTGTACTTTGTAACATTAGTCTATCTAGAACTATGCTTTACATTTGTCCTGACAGCAGATCCTTTGTCAGCACCTGGATTTCTTGTTTTATTTTTAAGATTAAAAAAAAAATAATAAATTTTTTTTTTTAAGGAAGCAAGGTAATGGGTTACATGATAACATTTTGATGGATAATGTGCCATTTTACTTTGTTCTTTTCCCAACCCACACTCCTCAGCTCTCACTATCATTTTTGTTTTTGCTCTCCTATCAAATATATTCTATTTCTCCTTTTCTTCCTCACTGTTCTTTCATACTCTTATTCCTTCTGCATCATAGTTTCTTTCTTTCATTGCTTACATATAGACACATAGACATGCATATAAATTTTAGATTTTTTTTTTTAACACCAACACTTTGGTCCCCTAAGTAGGTTTATAAATTTTAGAATGGTTAATGATAAACATAACAGGAAAAAGCAAATTTTTAAAAATTCACTACGCTCAGCCAGTCATTATTCTCTTGTGATTCAGTTCAACAGCATCACCTAACACAGTGCCTTGCACATTTAGGCATTCAGTATTTATATGTGTAAATGGATGATATATTTTAAGCATTAGTGACTCAGTCCATAAAAACAGTTTTGACCTTACTTAATCATAGAATTTGAGAATGCAGAATTACAGGGTGTGAGAAGTAGATAATTTAATGAAAATGAAGTACACATTCATAAAGTTCAGCTTACCTATATGTTGGTAATGGAGGTACTCTTGTCAGCTTTACTTAAAAGGTCTGTTATTTCGGGTCTCCTAAGTAACAGTAAGGAAAAGTACGTAGTTTTTAATCAGAGGCTCACCATTGGAGAGATTTGAAAAATACCATCAGTAATTTTTAAAAGTTTTCCCTTTTTTTGTGTGTGTGTGAGAAAAAGAGTAAAATTCACCTGTTAAAATTGTTATTGGAAGTAATGCTAATAACAGTTAAATGTTTTGTTTTCTCCCTCCTCTCTTCATCTATGTATGTTTTATGAGTGTGGTTGTATTTTTGAGGCCATTCTTTGCACTAAACCATCTCTCGTATTGGTGATATTGGCCTGTATCCCCAAATGACAAATTCAAATCTTATTTATTTAAGGAACATTTTGCTGTTTAATATTTAAACAACATTTAATATATTTCATTATTAATTAGTATACGGCTTATGGTTTGTTTCCTATTTTCTTACTACTTTACTTACATATTCTTTAGCAGAAGCAGCAGAACAGCAGCTTATACAGGAATACCTAATTCATGATGATGAAAACCCAAATTTTTAAGTTCAAAGAACTGTCAATTTCTTTGCTATGCAGAGTAACATTCAAGTTGGTTATGAAAAAAAGGCATAGGTTTGAGTTAGTATATACACAAAAAAGTATAAAAGTTCTCACTTAAAGAACATTCACTAATATATTTAAGAAACATTTACCTAAATAAAAATTGCTGTGACTATTAACACAATTAAAGTGATGACAGTTTTTTTTTTTTTTTTTTTTTTTTTTTTGAAGATGGGAAGGGATTGTTTATTGTACTGATGAACTATGCAAATTATTTGACATGTTGCAGTATCTTACAATGTTATAACTAGGGAACTGGTCAGAATTAACCATTTTGAAAGTGGGTTTAAATTTTGTTGGGTATTGTTTGTTGGCTTGAGAATAAACAAAGAGCCATGTGCATTCTAGGCAAGCATTTTTACCACTTAGTTACACTCCTAACCATAAATTGTCAAATTACTTAAATGCAAAATTAGAGCTAAACAAGAGAAGTTTATTTTTGCTTTTAGTCCTCCCAGCCCAGGGAAATTTATTAAAGATGTGTGTGAATGCACATGCATGTGCACATACACAATTCAAAAGAGTTGTTATTCTGTCTAGTTCAGATTCATCTAGAATGTTGAGAAAATAATTGCAAGATAAAATTTGTAGAAATTTGTTTTTAGCTGAAAAGCTGGTGGCTGCTGATTTTCATATAAATGCAAGTTAAATTTAATTACCTTCACTTTGGAATTACTGGACTGAATTTTCATTATCTACTTGGGTTTAATTTTCACATCGTGATTTTCATTAATTTTATAGTAAAATGGGAAATTGACTAAATGTAACATAGAGAATTTGGGGACTTTAAATTAGGCCCTAAATTTTCTGATATATTTATGGCCATGTTTAGAAGAATATGTTGGCCCTAACATAGTTTCTGCACTAACATGTTGTCAGAGCAACTAAGGAAAACGTTAAAATGTACAGTAGCTGTATAAAGAATTATTTTTAGTAAGTACACAATAGGTTAATGCTTTCAGGTCATTGATGTGTTTGGGATTGTGTGTATTAGAAACTGTTTATAAGAGTATCTTGGAAGTTCTAAATTGCCACATACTGAAATGCAGTAAACATTTTATATGAATAAAGTTTGTGAACTACAACTAGTTTTGTGCCAAAGTTTAAAAGATGGGATTATAGTATGTCAAAATTAAGCGAATGATCTTTCTTTCTAGGTATTTTATAAGCTGTTACATTTTGTTTCTATTTTAAACATAAGTAAAGCTACTTGACCTTCCATTTGGGTTATAGTTCTTAATAGGTAATTTTGTTTCTTCCATGGTAGTATCAGTGTGTTTGCCTAATCATCAATTAGTTCGTTAAAGCAGTGAGTAGAACTTAACCTTAAATCCTTTGTTACCTGATGAAATGATCTCATTCCATTTTGGTAGCTTTTTAAATTATGGGCTTTATTTTACCTGCAACATTTTGCTGTTAAAAATCTTGGGAATATATCTGCCTTTCCTTAGTTCCCCAAAAATGACTCCAACAAAATAACAAGAAAAGTGTGTGTTTGTGTGTGTGTGTGTGTGTGTATGTGTGTGTCTGTGAGTGTACAATGCACAGCTATCAAGAAGGTAGAAAATATTTGTAAGTTTGGGATATTGTCTTTATGTAAAGTGATTCATGAGCTTTACCTGGCATAGTATTTCTGTTCAGGAAATAAAGATGTTTACTTTTTGGAATCAATGAGTTAAATCCAGTTAGTCTCTTTTTTTCAGTTAATAAGTTAAATAATTTCTAGAATTAGAGTTCTTCATAAAAGTAGCAGATTTTATGACCTGAGCAGTTGAAGAATGTTAAGTTTCTTTTTTTTTTTTTTTTTTTTTTTTTTTTTTTTTTTTTTTTTTTTTTTTCCAGAGCTGAGGACCGAACCCAGGGCCTTGCGCTTGCTAGGCAAGCGCTCTACCACTGAGCTAAATCCCCAACCCCGAATGTTAAGTTTCTTGTGACATTGTAATGGTATTAAAACTCTATTCCAATATTTTACATATGAACATCCTAGTTTTAACATCTTAAAATTTTAAAGCAGGTGCTAGCGCCACACACTCGACTTGGGAGGCAGAGACAGCCAATCTAGCCTGGTCTACAGAGTGTGTTCTGGGGCCAAGGCTACACAGAGAACTCTGTCTTGCAAAAAGCAATCATAATCTAAACGAACCACATTCCCAGATATCAAGTCACTAACATTATCATATCGACAATGTCAATAATAATGTATGAACCTGATGTGACAGTTTTTAAACGAAGGCTCTAATGGGCTACACTCTAGGTGTTTTTGTTTAAGTTTTTATTCTTTTCATGAGTGCTCAAA